AGCAGCTTTAGCACAGCAGCCCAATTTGAACATTTACAACAGGCCTGAAGATCAAGGGGCAGCAAGAAGGAAGGACGTGAGGCAACCAAGCATATAACATAAAACGTGTCTTCAGATAACCTATGAAATAGTATAAGATATATGGACTGTGGTGCTAAGCAGAGTTATATAAATGATTATACAAAGAGCCTGTGGCAATAGCCTGTAGAGAAGGGCTCTAAAGGGAATAAGCAGACACAAAACAAGGCCAGGAATTGAATAGTGAAGATATTTCATTCTGCTGAGATTTCTTTAAACTGATTAAAAAAAAAAAGAAGCAATCCCATACAAAAAAAAAAAAAGCAATTAATCCTCCACGCCTGTCCCAAAACACTCACTATTAAGTTGATAAAACCGTTACAGCTGCTGAAAAGTTAAAGAAGCCACCAGCTGAGCTAGCAGGAATAACCCATGCCAAGTCATGCGCCCGTGCCTATATGTTCTCTGCCAGGGCTCCAGAGGACTTTCCTTTCCCTTTCAGCATAGGACCCAGCGTGGGCTATGGGTCTCATTGCAGCCATACCTGCACATATAATTTGCAACCAGTCCTCACATGATCTGATTTTTTTTTTTCTTTCTGGCATCAAAAAGGTAATTGTTCATCATTGTTGCACTATTGTCACCCAGGTGATCTCAGTTTGGGCTGTCCAGGTGAACATCCCATGGGCTGAGTAGTAGCCTCCTCTCCTCCATCAGAGTTAGAAGTCTGATGGTTCACATCATGTTATCTCCCTCACCCTGTTTTTTTAATGATGTGGATGAAATAAATTAAATGTGAGATGAAAGCACATTCACTGGATCCAAAAGACGGAAGCGAAGCTCTGCATCTGCTGTGCCTAGAGTAGGTTGTCTAACATTATATGCTGAATTTAATCCTGAAGATTGGCTTATAGCTACATGTGACTTGACTTTAGCCAGCGTGCTGAGCACTCACGGAGCCCTTGGCTGCAGTGAGGGCTGCCAGTGTTCACACTATTTGAAAGAAAACTGGGAGAATTGTCTCAGACAGAAGAAACTGCACTCTTGTGCTCAGAAAGCAAGCTTTGCTGGGGGGGGGAGGGAGGGGCTTTTTTTCCCCAAAGCTTTTTTTTTTTTTTTTTTCTAATAGCTATCAATGTGAAGCTAGTATTGAGGAATTAAGAAAAGCCCAATATAGTGCAAGAACCCACTTTTCGGCTGCTTATGTTTTTTAGTAAATTTTAAACTTCTTAGTAATTTTTTAATTTAATTTAAGCTGCAACCTCAATGTCCCTGTTCCTGCCAAAACCACTCACAGCCTCACATTAGGAATGGCATTTAAAGTTGTCTGGTTGTTCCCAGGGTCTTCTGAGTGACAGCCACTCATCACTTCCAGTTGGGTGCTATTGTGTCAACCTTCCTCATCCCAGAGGTAAAACGCCTTACGTTCTTCTTCTGCCAGGGGTACAAAATGAAATGAAACACCTAGAACCAATTTAGTAGCTGACAGATGTGTCATTTACGAAGGGTAACAGAGTGGAAATGCTTTATAGGAGCCTCCTTCATGGTCAAGTCAATGATGTTGCTACAGCTCAAAATGCTTTGATGCCATTCTCGGAGCTGGCCTTGAGCAAGTCACTTATTAAGCCCTGGCTCTGAGTCCCCGGAGGCAATGGAAGTGTTACCACTGACTTAAACAACAGTGAGATGAAGACTTAAATCTCCCTGGGCCTCTGGTACAGAAACTAATACACCTTTGTCTTGCACTCATGATCATTGTCTGTTTAGACAGTAAGCTCTTTATAGCTAGGCACCTAAGACTAGGTATGTTCTTGAAAGTCACAAGAAAAAATATGTGGGCTCTTTGGGCCATCAATATAACAGCATGATGGAAATAATAAGAATAATAATGATAACAGGACGAGCTTTGACTATAATGAGTGGGGATCCATTGAAATCCAATAGTGACAGAATAAGAGGAGTTTCAATGCCTCAGAATTCACTGCACTTCAGTGTGTAATGCCATGAATTTCTGCTTCTCCTTACTTTCAGAAAGACAGTTCAGTGGCCTTCTCATCTACTAGCCAGCAGAAGCAGAAAAATAAACACGCAACTAGGAGCTGTATTCACAGACAGGAAGTAACTTTAATTAAATATTGTGAAAGTTGAAAAGTTTTTACAGCTTGAATTTCTGCAAAAAAATTATAACAATCTCTACAGTAGTTAGTTTCTCTAACAATAGAACTGTACAGTGTGTGTGTCAATATTCAAAAAGATTTAGATAAGAAGGTGAAAGGTTAGTAGTTTCAGAGATGACTTCATTTTAGCTGCATCCTAGTACAACTGTGAGGAAATAGGCATACTTTATGCAATCCAGTCATTGTGAAGCTTCACCTTTTTTAAATTGAAATCCGAAAGTTTCCACTTAAAGCCATATTCTGTAAACAGCTGCATCTTTTACTTTGTAAAAGATAAGGGTGGTGCAGGGGGATTTTTATAAATTCCCATTCTTCGGATCATTATAAATAGCTGCAACAAAAAACAAAATTATGCACATCGTCGAAGGACCTTTGGACACTGGTGTAAAAGACTACAAACATAGATGGCTAACACTTGTGTCAAAATCACTATGACTTTGAGTGGAGCTCTACAAGAGTAATTGATGGTGTCACTGGACAAAATATGGCTTTAAATTTGATTACATTGTCGTGCTGTTGCTTACTATGTGAATTAGAATAATCGTTTGCAATACAGAGAAGCAATAAACTGATGTCTCTCACATTTTTCCAGTTTTGTTCTCCTTTTATTTTCTCACCATGAAAAAAAAAAATCCTGTTTTCTTCCCTTCCCCCAAAAGATCACACTGTGACATTCTAGTGAAAACCATTGCAAAATCCATACAGGAAGCATGCACAGTTGCAGCATCGTTGTAAATGATTTCTTGCTCGACTAGAAAAAAGTTATATTGTTTTAAGGTAACAAAACAGTTCTTTTGTGCTTTTCAATTCCTTTTTTTTTTTTTTCTTAGAATGTTAGTAATGATTGACAGTTCTGGTGCACAGTACAATGTACAAGTGAAATGAATATGATTTGCATTGTTAAGGCATCCAATCTGCTGGTTTATATTTATGTGAAAGACAGAGAAATATACAAGCAGACTTAAGAAAGAAAGTATTTTCATTGAGTTCTATGAAGTTTCTCCCCATATTTAATGCACAAAAATGCGTCACTCCAAAGAGGAGAAATCCCATGCATATTAATAGAGTAAAACAGCATTAGTTTTTGTTAAGCCTCAAAAGCAAAGGATACATTTTCTTTAAAATCTACATAACTAAATGCTACAAGAATAATATGCTACTTTTTGCCATATATTGGAAAAAACTTCTTAACTTACAAATAATACAAAAATAGACAATGGCTTTTGGGTGGAAATTAAAAAAATGGAAGCATGGTTTTAAACAATACTAAAAAAAAAAAACTATAAATGAAATGTTTTAAAATCACATTTAAACAGCTAATACAACGGTGAATGACCAAACAAATCAGCACTTTTTCACATAGCAAACATACACAATAAAATAAATTGGGGTAGGGGAAAAAAAGCAATGTACAAATTCCAAAGATAAATACATTATTTATATGGATATTTTACAAAATCCCCTTTAAAACAAACAAACAAAAAAACAGGAACAAAAAGCTTTTTTTTTCTTTAATTAATTTTGCAAGTATGTGCAAGCTAAAGGTAGTGAGCTCTTTTTTGCAAAATATGCAGTAAAATTCTTTTTTTGTGATATTGAAAAACTGTCTTAAGACATTAAAATGTATAAATAGAACAACAACTTTGGCAAAAAATCACAAAAAAATCTACAGTATTTATAACTACATACAAAACACAACAGCAAAGAAAAAATATCAGGTAATGCATCTTCGGAGCTTTGCTGCCTCTTTGACTAATAGTTTTTAAGAACACTTCCCAGATAATGATAGCAAAAGTCTTGAAAAACAGAAGCTATGGTTTTGATTTGAAAACTTCATAACAGTCCATCCCCCCCACCCCCCCCCGCCCCACAAACTCGTGTTTCCATTTACTATTCAAAAGCAGTTACCTGTTGCTTAATATATTATGATACACACTGAGAGGGTCGACTGATACGGCAGGAATCCTAGCGGGAGGCCGAGAGAAGCGCGCGGGCTTCGGCGTTGCACGCCCAGCTCGGGTGACACGGGACGTCAGCAAGGCCACGCACTGGGAGGGAGTCACCTCCCTCCGCGGGTTTCGCGTTGCCTCTAGAGGCACTGGATCTGCAGCTCAAGAGGAAACGGGCTTGTTGGTTGCATCCTTACCTCCACTTTCACCAGCTTTTCTTGTTGCGTTATTTACACGGTTATTTAGCCTGATGTTAGAGGTTACAAACACCCCCTCCCCCATCCCACCCTCACCATCCAAAAACATCACCTTTCTAGGGAGTAACACCTATTGAATGAGAACATTAAAAATGCATCGGTGTCAGCAAATCACCACTGGATAAGCAACCTGTATAAGCCGACCCTTAATTAAATGGCCATAATTCTTCTACGAAAAACTAACTGGCACTTCTATTCTGTCCCGTACAGCCTTCTTTGTAAATGACACCACTTCATTTTCCTTTACACAGCTTTAAGAAAAAATTATAAATTAAAAATGTGGAGTTCCATCTCTAGTGTCCCTCGCATAGTTGTATGACTTATAAAAGACAAATGGTGTTGAGTTAAATCAAGCCTTAAAAGAACATGAAAAACAAAAGAAAAAAACAACCCAAAAAAAGCAATTTCCCACCCCCGCAAAAAAGTGGATTTTTTTTTTTTTTTTATCAACATACAATAAATATATCTCCCACGTATTTGGGATGGACAACTTGAATCAACACCTTGCAATTGCAGATTGTTAATTTCAGTATTTGCAAGGATGGTGATTTTTGTTTTGTTTAAAAATCCGCAGTTATTGTAAGATTCTTCTTTATTTCTTTTTTTTTTTTTTTTTAAAAAGGCCTGAGTTAAAAGTTCCACTCTGGGACTTGTATCAGATTCTCTCTGAAGCAGAATTCAACCTCTTCATTAATAAAATTCTTCAAGGCAATTCTTTCACATGGGGGGAACAATCATGCCAGATATAGCTGTTACAAGGAGAGCAGAAGGAGAGAGAGGGAAAAAAAAGCAAGTTACTTGGGTGCATTATAAAGCAACTCTAAAAATCCTCAGAGCTTTTAAACATTTACTAGCAAAGTACTCAGCTGTACTGTGAATTAAATTTATATTTAAGTATCATCCCGTAGACACAACTGTGTATGCATTAGTCACAAGAAACCTGATTCTGATCTGAAAGTGGTTTAATTGTGAGTGACTCTGCTGAAATTAGTGATTTTCTTCCACAATAAATACACTTCACCTGATAGCAGAATCTGTTCCTAAGTTAATTTTCCGGTTTTAGATGCAAAGTCTGGCTATTGCTGAAAATGATCAGGAGACTTCAACTTGAATCAGACATTGTCATACGTGCTATTACTTTTTTAAAAGAAAAGCAGATAGTTGCTCCACATATGAGCAAACGCCTAGAGACCCATAAGCCACCAGTGTTACAGATATCATGATGTGTTTGTCACATAATACTCACTGACAGTGGCTCATTTTCTTAGCCCAATTTTCTCTTACAAGTTGAGTATTCAATCTTGGAAATTTGTGCATGCGTTTCAGGGGACCCAAAAAAGGACTTGAGAAACCCTCAAGTCCAAGCTCCAAGTTGCAGTGAAAATCTGTTCTTAACTGAGGGTTTAAGCTAACCAGCATCTCATGGTTTTATCACGCTTGTAAAAGACTTCACCCTCTGCATTAACTGAGTAGTACATTAATGTTGATTTAGAACGTCCTCTGTGTTGGTTAAGTTGAATCATCAGTATTTCTTTATTATACTTCCTAACTTCATTTTCTGTGGAATCACCATCTCTCTTAAAGAAGAGAGACATTTATTAAAAGTCAACAGGTACACCTAGCTTGACCTCCAGCTTGGTCTCCCTCTGTTTACCAGGGTCTCTCTGCAGATCAGACATATCAAGTGACCAAATGATAGACTGTGAGCAAGCACATCACTACAGGAGGTAGTCATGTAAGTTTATGATGAAAGCTGTAACAACAATGCATCTTTAAAACACCAGTTGTATGGTTATTTGCAAAAAAGGTAGAAAACATTCGCCTTCAGGTTGGCGGCACTTCATGGGCACATTATTTAAATGCTAGAACTGCCTGCCATCTCAGACATCTGGACATGTAATTTCTTAAGGAAGAACTCAACCCTGTGACTGGTGCTGATTCATTGTGCTTTAATTACAGCTGCAATTATTTGATAAGAACAGAGCCAAAGTAAAAGACTCACAGATTTGGGGTTGGAGGGGGAGAGGAGGGAAATGTTTTCTCCACAAACACCACCATATGGGCAAGAATTACAAGTCTAATCAGCAAGGGGAGAACAGCTCGAGCAAACTGCACTGATTAAATGAAATAAAATGAGAGAAGACAAGAATGCAAAACACATCCACATGTTTGTAACAAGCCATCTTCAGAGGTGACATGTTGCAACTATACAGCAGCATTTCAATTCTTGGAATTTATCATCCAGAAAGGTTTTTATGTGGAATCACTGTACTGGTTGTTTTCACTTCACGTAAGGGCTCTTCAAGGAGGTGGGAATGAGGATAAAAGGGACAGAGACACTAGTTACCTTGCTTTAAGCTTTACACTAAGGCACTCAAATGAGTAGTAGAGAGGACACCACTTTGTTTTAGATGCTATCAAAACGTGAACATTCCTTGCTGTGGCACTTCCCAATATGGTGCTTCTTGGCTCCACCAGAGATAGTCTAAGGTTTCACTTTCATATAAACTGCACAACTTTGCCATCATCTCAACTCATAGGCTGACCTCGGTATTACTTTTTTTTTTTTTTAAATCCTTGCCAATTTTATCATCAGTGAATGAAATAGCAACTGCCTTGTTAAAAAAACAACAACAACAACAAAACTTCCCATAGGATTATATTTCAAGATTATCTCAAAATCAAGTCCTGAGTGCTCACAGTCAGGCTGCCCCCCTTGGCACAGGTGAGTAAAACTGCAGCAAACCCTAAGCCAAGAAGTGCTGGTGCAGTAGCCCTGCTGCACTCACTGCTGTGGTCCTCAGCTGCTCTCTACGCTGCTCTCAGGCTTCTCATGCCGTGTGCCAGGGTATCCCATCACTTTCCAGCAGCACTTTCAGCAACATAACTCACACATCTCTCTCCCTACATCCTTAGCCCAGCTTCCTCAAAGAAGCACCTACATGGATTCAATAAAATCAGCCCTGACAAGGAGGGAGGCCGTCAACCAGATTGCAGGGCTCCTCTTGGCCTCCTGTGAGGCAGCCACCCTCAGCTAAAGATGAGACTGAAATTTTCACTAACTGAAAATATGAAAGGCTCATTTGGGCATGGACCTGAGACACAGGTTTTAGCTTCAGCTTACCTTCAAGCTCATTGTATTACACTGAGCAATTTGAGTTGCTTCTATTTCTTATCCAAGGATAATAACATTTATCCCTACTAGTAAAGCCCATGGAGATTTACGGATGGCAGTTCTGTAGAAGAACACAGAGGTGGCACCACAGCGCAGGGACGTCGGCATTGTACATCACAGCACAGAGAAGAGCAATATTGAGAAGAGGGCTCCCTCTTCTACTGCTCAGGCGAGCAAGGAACGGAAGAGCTGGGGATGGGTAGAGTCTTCTTATATGCAGTAAGTGCAAATGAGCAGAGTCAGATGGATAATTAATCCTCTCTGAGTACTGCTTCAACATTTTTTGCCCTTTTCATCCCTGTCTAAACTCTAAATTTAGGCAAAATTTAAAACAAGTTGTTTTGTCTTAGCAAATGACATATACTTCAGAAAATGTCAAAATAGTTTCCCCCCCCCCCCATAAACCTTCTAAAGTTAAGAGATTCATAAAAGAAAAAAAAAATCAGTTTCACCAAAAAAAAGCTCCAAGGATTGGCTCTCTCTTGGGCCAGCACAGCTGTCTACCCTGGAAAAACACTCAGCTGAAGCTAACATAATTGCAGGTCCTCACTTCATGACTCTTAGACATTTCTCCATAGTTACTTATCAACCACGCACCTTTTGCCACCGAAAACAAATGGTACAGATGTAGATCTTTGCTTGTTTTTTCAAGACATTTAATGTTTGTGAAGAGCTCTAATATTCTGAATTAAATTACAAAGCAAACGGCAAAATGATATCTTTTCTGCCTAAAAGCCTTGATATTTCCATTCTTTCCAAGTCTTCATTTATATCACTCTACTTTTATTCCGTAAGTGCTACATCTAGTCATGTAAATTCTCTCAACTGTAGCATGTTATTGATCCTGAAAACAGAGCTATCAGTGGGAAACACTGTAGGTATGAGATCACAACATCTCCAAAAAGGGAGGGCAGAGAGAGGAAAAACTTCCACCAATGGGCATTATTTCTCCTATCATATACTAATTTGTATTTGCTGCTGGCAAATTACAGAAATAATGTATTTTAAGTTTTACAAAATTGCATGGCAAAGAGAACAACAGATAAGGATGGCTGTTGTTTTAGTGAGTTCTGCTGATATCTAGGCTACATAAGGAAAGCTTGATTGCTTTCTGATGTATCCAGAAGCCCAAGAGAGATAAGACAGCCTCCTTATACACGGTTGTTTATTTAAGCAATAAGGCACAACAGGCAGTGCATTTCTGAGTGATTATTACCAGCCTCGGGTAATGTCAGAAGGCACAGGGCTAAAGGCTGTGTGTCTTTAACTTACCAAGAAGTTCAGTGATGACCTAGAAATGAACCGTCTCTCTCTCTCTCTCTCTCTCTCTCTGTGTCTCATTCCTATTATGAAAACTGAATAGCTAAATAAAAATTAGGGGTAACACTCAGATCTGTGTGGTTTCTGGGCACTACAGATCTGGATGTGACATAACGAGGAGGCAATCAGCAAGCCTCAGTTGCGTCCGGCACTCTCAGCTCGTTCCGTAATTGCTTTTCATAATACAGTATGTGGAATCTGGGAATTCCACGTCTTGTGGAATGAAATACAGTGCTTTAAAAAACTTTCTCCTGTTACTCGCTTTTTCTCTCTAACCCCGACACCAGTCTGGGACAAGGTGAAGAGAAGAAAGAAACATTAACATGTTCAAAAGCTTCTAGTAGCCAACTATTAGTTCCCTTTTTGTTTGTTGTTCTTTTAAATTCAGCCGTGAAACATTTTAAGCTGGTGCTGTTAACGTTTGCAGCATCCTGGCAGAGCCAAATTTTTAAAACACAAAAAATGTATTTTCTGAACACCATGGCTCATCTAAAAACTTGGTTGTGTTTTATTCCTAACGCAGTCTGTATTTATAACAAAGTTCTGACTTAAGGCACCCTTGTTCTTGAGCTTATATGTTCTCAGTACGTCCATGGTTTCTCTGTGCGTGTGTGCGTGCGTGCGTGCGTGCACATCTGCAAGGATTCCTCCTCCCAATCTACTGGTGTAAAATGCCCTGAGGACAACGCTTCTCTTTAGTGACAATAGATCGGGGCTTTTATGAATGAATTCGTTCCACTCTGCCTGCATATAGATTTTTCGGCTGTAATGGTGCTATCGGCATTATGACCACAAGCCTGGCGTCTCTCTTTTCAGAGGCCAGGGAGCGACATGCAGAGCCTGGGGAACGGTGCCCTCCCCTCGTGCAGAACAGCTCATTCTGAATATGGCTTTAGCAAGAAAGGATTTTTATTCTCTGCTTGGTGCTCTCTAGAAAATTTGCACAGGCACGTGGAAAGGAAAACAGACCTCAGGTCTGAGGGAAGCACAGTGCATACCACAAAATCTTTCCCACCTCTGGCACAGTTGGAGGCAGCTGGCTGCATCTGCTTATGAAAACGCCTCAGTCTAAGTGAACATGAAAACGTCTCTCTCTCTCTCTCTCTCAGCACACTAATGCGTAGTGAGGTAATTATAAAGGAAGGTTCAGGAGTAGTGGTGTAAAACAGGCTGAACCAAACAATGAAATAGGCAGCACTGATCTTTGCAGCATCCTCAGTCTGACGAGCTTTTTTGTCTGTCACTCCCTCGGCTTGCATCAACACTTCAAAATGTCTTTAGGTGCTAATACCGGAATACTTTGTAATGAGAGGGGAAGGGACGCTGAAAAGGAGCAGCCCCGCACTACCAACAGTTGAAGAGGCTTTCAAAGAGGCTTTTTCAGTACCATTTAGGGCATTAATAGGCATACAGGTACATTAATCAGTGTAAACTAACGTTTGCCCCGGTATGAGTTAAACTGGGAAATGCTGCTGTTAGTTTGTAATGTGGCTTCTATTTATTAAAGGCAAAGGTTTGTGCCAAGCTCTGTAACAGTCTATTTGCTCTCAGTAGGATTTCTGTACAAGTGTACTATGACAAAGGAAAAAAAGGAAGGGAAGATTGAGTGACGTACTTCAGGAGAAGGCCAGCCCCTGGAGAGACCCTGCAGTGGAGTACTTGCTAGAGTCCACAAAAGACTGGTCTGATAATGGACGACAACAGGGAATAAGAAAGGAAAGAAAGAAAAAGGATGGTATTAGTAAGCTGAAATATTACTCGTCTTTATCAAAACAGTTGGTCTGTGCTTTAAAAGACACAGCTTCTCAATTCAGCAGTATTAGTCGAGTTAGAGATAGGGTGATTGCCAAACACCTGCAAGGTACTAGGTGGGCTGATGGTGGATTCGTTACTCTTTACAGGAGGAAAGTTTAGGACCGAGACCACCAGGTATCCCCCACTGTCTTCCGTCCCCTGTGACAGCAGCTGACTCACTGTTGCTTAGAGCATGGCAAGGAGCTGGGAACTCACGGTTTTGGAGAGCAGCCATCTTTGCTGCCAGAGTTGGTGTCACCTACCTTGCAGGCTATTGCCGTTGGTGCTGGTGCAGGTGGGAGGAGGAGAAGTTTGCGGTCTCACAACAGGCGCAAAAGCACTCTTCTGTTTCACTGCTGAGACCATGTTGGCTGGTGAGAAGGAGAAAATCCCAGAGGAACTGCTACAGTTTGAGGGGAGGCTAGTGGAAGAGGCCATTGTTGGACTTGATGGCACAACTAAAGGAAAAAAAGACCCCCGAAAGGGATTCCTTAGTATTAGATAATCAGCAGGCTGTAGAAACAAAAGACTCCTGCTTCTTGGATGGACTGAGTTTAATTTCAGAGGGCCATGGCCTTTACTGCAGTTAGATTCTGGTTGTCCACAAAGTGTAATCTGTCACTACAAGAAACCCGTCCGGGTTTTTTTGTTTTGTAACTGTTCAAGAGCAGTAATTCTAGGTGCCCTCATAGACTACTTCAGTTCTCTGTTACTGCAGTCCTTTATTCTTACAACAACCCTGTCCCACCAGCCTATTTCAGATTATTCCAGTGACTGGTAACAGTCACTGCTTCCATCAGAACTTGGCATGGTTTTGTGCAGGTTCACTCCTAGGTTCCAGAACTGACAAGTGAGCAGAGTGGTTAAAGTATAAATCGAGGCCTGGAAATTTAACTTGGAAAAGTCTAACTTGTCAATAGGCCTCCAAAACCACTTTTCTGAGCAGTGCTTTCCTTGTAGCAAGACAGCTCCAGAAAGACCTACTGGATTTCAGACAAACCTGCAGAAGGCAGAGCTCTTAGCAGTAACCCAGCCAATCTGCTTGTCTAATGTCAGCAAAAATAGTTACGATTTCTCCCTCTCCTGAACACTAGCCGGGGGTTTAAAAGAATAGATCCAGCTGGATATACACACGTATTTGCTTATTTTTTGATTTAGGAGGGGTGAAAAGGGGAATTGAAAATTGCTGAAGTTACAACACAGACACTGTCCATCATGAAGCACCCAGCGAGATGGCCACTTTGATAGCTTTTACACCTTTGGTCTCCTGGCACTAGTGTTTTCAATCTCTGTTGCAGAAATAGATGTGTGGATGACTGAAAGAATTCACATTTGTCTTTTATCTCCCAATAGGTGAAACCATTAAACCATGGCCACACATATTTGCTCTGTTATAATAACTAGTATCAAGGTAGTCTCCAGCTTCCATGTCTCCATCAGCTTTGGAAAACTTTCTCCTGTGGAAACCTCCCAGAAATCCTCAGCGTCATGAAAAATATTCATATTTCGCGTGTGACCATTTTATTTATGCACAAGGTTGGAGCTGGCTTTTCAGATCTCACCTAAGATTGAGAATTTTAAAAATAGAAGGCTGTTTTATGATGGGCAAGCCAAGCAATACTCCCAAAGGATCCATGACCTGTCTGAATATGGTCAACCTGACTTTTCAAAGCCATTGATCGGAATCTCTGGATATAACTAAGCAATGAAGCTAGTCTGATTTACATCAAATGAAGATCTGGCTTTAAGTACAAGATTGAATAAAATGGGAGCTCCAGTTTTTCTAAACAGATAGAGATGTTTTAGATGACTCTCCTTTTTTTAAGAGCTAAACTGACTGTTCATAATGAAAACGCTATGTAGGAGGTTCGATTTTTTAGATATATCTATCCTTAAACATCTAGTATTATACTGATAGTGCAGTACATATCTTTGATTCATGTATTTATCATTGCGATTTTAAGTGGATTTGTTTTGTTAAAAAAAAAAAAAAAGCCAAATACTTTTATTGTCAGACAGCATTGACAGTTTCCCATTTTGTCCAAAAAAAAGGCAAGGACCAATTCTTGGTAAGAGCTCATGCTTTCACTCTTCATCTTGCGTAAAAACTGTTTATACACAAGAGGGCTTATGAATAATTAAATATTATAGAATAAAATGCATATCATTTAGGCTTTTAATTATTATTTTATTTGCATTTATGTAGATAAAAATCACCATATTTGAGTTCTTCTTTGAGAATCTGATATCATATTTGCTAACACTGAGGAAATCAATTAATGGAAATTAAATGTTCAAAGTTTCACAGTCTGACAGATACAATCTTAGTCTGAAGTCACTCTATGTCTGGAAGTACTTGCTAAGGCAGAGCAATCAAAGCACCTAAATTGAATTGCTACTATACAGCAATTAGTTTATTGATTTAATTAAGAATGCCACCTTTTAATTTTCAGGTCATGATTGAAGCATTTTCTGATTCAATGGATTAGGCATTAGCAGAATGACAGATCTACCAAGAAAACCTCCCAAAATATAAATAGAATATAGAATCAGGTCTGGGAGGTGAGGTGCTATTCTAAAGAGGACTTCGTTCATAAATATGAAATAATACACCGCTGAAGTATTTTAAATACATTACTGGCATCTGCTTCCAAAAAGAGATGTCTCATCAATCACGTTATATTATGAATTCAGAGTGCACAGATTCTGTGACAGTAAGTTCAACTTAATAAGTAAGGTACTTTGTAACACCACTTGCTACATTATGATTAGAGTACAAAAATAATAACTGGTTAGCAATTTCCAAGGTATAAGTACTAGCTATGTGGGCAAATATTTTCTTCTAAATTTGCAGCAGCTAAGCTTCGTTATTTTTAAAATCAGAGTTATTATCTCCTTTTTTATTCTGCATCCTAGCAATGAACTTAAAAATAATTCATTACTGCTGTTAATATTACTGAAGACTTTCTGCATAAACTTAGACATGTTCAGTGTTCTGTTTGCCCTGTTCATGCTAGGGTCTGAGTCTATAAACCTATTTATATGACAAGACCTTCTGGCCTGATTCTGCCTCTAGCTTTCTACAGATGTCAGTCGAATCTATTATGCAACCTGAGTAATGTCTGAGGAATGGGGCAGATCTATTCATTTAATTTTCTCATGTGAGTAGCAATTACTGATCTGTGTGAGCTGTGGAAGAAGAGGTTCAAAGGCCTTTACCAGTAGAAACATATTTATATTTAACCAGGTTACTAAACCTTTAAAATGAAAACTCAAAAAGTTAGTCCTATACATAAATATTTCTGTAACAAGGCCTGTAGACCATAAGCTCTTCATGCAATGGAATATATGATTTTTGTGACTTGAATCTTTGCAGCACTCACTGTACAGACACTAAAATACAGACAAACTCTAAATGCCATTGTCATATTTTACTGACTAATACTAAGCTCTCAGTGAAGTCAATATAATACCTACTTAGAAAATAAATAGAGTACAAGCAATCAAAATTAGGCTCGATGGTAATTCATAATTTCTCTAAGGTTATGAACATATTTGTTCAGAGGGCTTGGAAATAGCATCAAGCAGCTTTATGGAAATATATAGTAAACTTTTCTGTCCTTGATGTCTTACAGTTGGAAAAAACTGTTTTTCCTGCAATATACCATTAGCCTTTTTTCTTACCCACTCCAACAAAAAGTTGCGTACTGACAACTTTTGATCCACTCCAACAGAAATTAAGTCACTTATGCCATCCTGCTTTCTAGAATTGGCAATGTTGAGAATCGTGCCTCTTATTTACCGAGTACAAGGAAAGTTATGAAACTAACAACCCAAATCATGAGAGACATTATTCTTTTTCAGCTCTTATGAGACTCTCAAATAATAAAAATGAAATAGAGAAGAGCATTGCTGGCAACACTAATGTCTTTAAAGTGCTTCAAAGGTCAGTGCCTTGGGGAGCAGAGAAAGGACCAAGCTCTGCTTCAAGTGCTCAAAATAGAAACTAAATATTGAGTATCACAGAAAAGTCACCATCTCGTCCTAATGAAAATGTGCAAAATACAGAAAAGCCATATAATACTCACTGGCATAGGGAGAATTGGCAGCAGATCCATTCAGGAAGGTTGGAGAACCACCTAAATTTGACATTCCAGCATTCCCATAGCCATTCATGCTTGTTGTGACAGAATTATAATTTGTCTGCTGAGGGGTGGTGCTTGGCACATAGCCATGAGGTGACACGCTGCTTGAGTTGCGAGTAAAACCTTTTGTGGGGAGGGAATACATTTAGAAAGCGGAATTAGCCCGACAACAGTTTCTAAAACAAACAGCGACAAGTAAGTAACTCAGGCCCACCAAGCCAGCCGCCCAGCTCCAGCTGCGGCGTGCACGGAGAGGGCTAGGACTGACCACCACCACCACTGGACAACCTAGACCACGAACGCTCACTGCCTGGATCACTGCTGAGGGGAGCATGAAGAGGGAGGAGGAAGGCTTCCACCCTCACAGCTCTGCAGGAAATCCATGCCTTCGAGCAGAGACGATCAGTGGGCATTGTAGGAACACTCACTCTAAAACAGCTATTTGTAGGAAACGATGTAAACTTGACCTACATTTTCAAAGTGAGACGTAATTTAGGGTGCCCGACTTGGAGTACGTTAAAAGGATGTGACTTCGGTAAATCTCCTCTGATGTCTCTCTCTCATTTAATGCATCTCAAATTAGACGCTCACTGCACACTTTGGAAAATGTAGGGTATATTCCTCAAAGTAGGAGCATATCTGTAGTCTTTCTGTTTTGGTCTGATCATTATGTTGGTAGAAACTGACTGTCAAGTTAGGCTCAAAGTTACAAACTGAATTTCCACCTAATTCTGAAAATGAGGCTTGAGAAACCTCATATTCAGATATCTAAAATGAAGATTTGCTGCTAGAAGCACAGAAGTACAAAATGCATCTTCACTCCTGGGAAATAAAATACCAACTTTTCTTCCTATCACATAGTACATCTGTAAAATGCTTGCTATCATCTAAAATCATTTCTATTTTTTGGTGTAATGCTCACTAATTTTTCTGCCTGTCTGGAAAACAGCCTCATTCTACCACTTTCTCATTAAAATGGATTTGAAGTTGGATAATAAATAGAGCTGAGCAAAGGAGAGAAGAAATTGCAAAGGGTATTTTAAAAAAAAGTTCTTCATTTTTTTTAACTGTAGAAATTAAAACAATACTGATTTTATACAACGTGAAAAATACTTTATTTTAAAAATGAGAGAAGCTCTGAAAATGCCTTTGTAAATATTTAGGTTTTTTTCTACTTTCAAAATTAGAAAAATCTAAAAATCTGAAAATTTTCCATCAGTGCTAATATTATGTCTCTTGCAAAACAAAACAAAACAAAAAACAGACAAAAACTCAAGGGATACATTTGTATTATAAAGAAGTACTACCTAAGGCCCAGACTCAGAGACCACGCATGTTTGGGGAAATCTATAAGCAAGTACTTAAAACTAAGTACAGGCTCAAGTTCACAGAAATCCTTTTAAAATTAGTGGGATTTAAGCACAAATGCAAGTGTTAGTCTGAGTTAAAAAAAGAGATTTAGATATACGCATCAGTGCTTTTCCTGAATTGGGGCCTACATCACTAAACAAAAAACTGTGTCCTGACAGTATTGCACAATTCAAAGATTGTGCATACGGGACGGGACGGTGTCTGCCTCGACATGCTCCTAGCGCTCAGTTTTGAACAATCACTCTTTCAGCCTGCTCTGCGCGTGTCTCCCTGACTTTTAGCAGAAAAGATTCATAAAGAGAGGAAGATGAGTCTTCTCCTGACCCTGATTGGTGGCCTGTGAGGCTTCGGAAACATTGACAGCTAGTTGACCACTAAAGGAATTCACTCCCATCATTCCTGCATGGACTGACGTGTTAGCAAGGGCGGGGAGCTGGTTGTGATTGCGGGGAACACTGTAGAGGGCTTCTGCGATGTCTGCTGCTCTTTTCAGGATTATTTCCTAGAGGACAAGAGGGGAAAAAAAAGAATAAAAGAGTTAGCAATTATATTCTGACAAATCTTTTCTCTCATAATAAAATAAAACATTTCACTATTCAAAGGCAAACACTAGATGCTTTTCTTTCTTAATCAGTTGGCTGACTGACAGTTAATGTTTATAGATCTGCCGCCCCCATGATAAATCCTGACATCTGTGGTTGGAAGTTTCGGTCCCAGTGGCCAAATATCTGTATAACAAGACCAATCGGCAAAATGGGGCTGGAGCCTAGACTTATTCCACCTTAGGGCTAAGATGTCTTTACAGTAAGATTGAAAAATCACTGGTGGCAAGACATAATGCATATCATTGCCCATATTATACAGTCTCTGGTGACAGCGGACAAATGTCTCCAGGGTTAATAACATGTTGTTTTTGCAAGCACTAAATTCACACACTTTAAAAAGAAAACAAGAAAATCAACCCCTACTCCAGATGTGACATTGCCCCATATATTTATTTTTGTTTCACACTGTAGTATCATATACCTTTAGCCCTTGATATATATCTAAGAAATAGCCATGTTTCAGAATTGCTCAAATAGAATGCATTTACCTGGTTATTATGTGGCATACCATAGAGTGCTTCTACTAAATCAGCAGCCCTCTTAAGTATTACTTCCTGTCAATATAAAAACAGATGTGTTTCTCTGAGTTCAATAAAGTCTTTGTGGGGGAAATAAATGTTAGAATATTTTATATTGTTCTAGTACTTGCACTGAATTTTTTTTTTCCCTCCCATCAGGTAGACCTTAATTGTAACAACTCTCAGCAGCCACCGAATGGTGTTAAATCACTAGTTCATCCTATTCACACACATGCTTAATCAAGTCAAAAGGTGAGAACCATTGGTGCTGCAAAATAAAATACACCACTCAATTGTCTCTACCATCTGCACTATAAACCACTCATCGGTTTATTGCAGAATACAATCCTGAGGTCATTTGCTAGATTACTGCAATCAATGTCATTCAGAGCATGTTATGAATCCCTTCAATGTGTTTATTTTATTCTTAATTGCATACTGCAGGAATTGTGACCTTACCCAGCAGGCCACGCTCAAAAGATATCCAATCAGTCCTATGCTACTGGTAATGTAACATCTCAACTTTCTTGGTTTGTATCTTGATACAATGGGTCAGAGCTAGGATCCATGTACGTGTTTTCCTCTTATGCATTATTTTATATGCAGTATGAGGCAATAGCCCAGTACTATGCAGGGTTTCCTGGGAAAACTCCCTGAATAGGCAACGGTATTTGAAACTTCTTTTTCTTTCTCTTTTTCTTTTTGTTTTGGTTCATTTTCCTATTTGTTCAAATCTTTTTATTTCTTTGTACTCATAGCGTAAGGCATTCACCTCGTCCCTTCTTCACTTAAATACTTCTTATAGTATTTTAAACTGGCATCCAAATAGCAGCATTTTTTCTGTCACTACGTTTTACAGTGCAAAAAAATCTATGTGAATAAACCTGAAAGAAAATCTAAAAAGGCACTGCAGAATTAATCTAGAATAAATTTATTTTCATATTCTTTCAAAACTTCTAGCAGATCCCCAATTGCCTGATCAAAACCAGCCCAGAGTGACCTTTAAGTAAAACAGTATATTTTTGCTATTCCCAGCCCCTAAAGTATTGCTTTAACATATAAACATAACGCTACTCACCACAGCATATATCTTCAGGTAGCTTACAAAAATAGTACTGTTTCTGAGAATTTTACAGTTTTCTACAAAGTTAAACTTTTTAACTTAAAATATTTTAAACAATAGCCATATTTTATACTGGAAAGAAACAGTAATGCTCAATTTTCATATACTGTAGACTCTGATCAGAAAATAGAGATATAATTGCGTTCATTTTGCTGTCACCATAACCTCTTCAAAAATCCTTGAACAACTCTTCAAATGACAAGCTTTTAGATGCATATTAGCATTTTTTCAATTTTAAATTCTCTATAATATAAGATAAAATAGTTGTCATACTGCAGTAACTACTTATGACATATATAATGTCCTAAATTCAAAAATGAGATGGAGGATTTTTGTACTCCCAGTAAACATTTAGGCTTGCCTTCTGCTGCACACACCCTTCTTTCAGATCACACATTTAAATTATTTTCTACATATGAGTCAGATGCTTTATATAATTGATGGATTTCTGAATCAGTACATTTCAAATAGATGCTGAAGAGTTAGGTTGCTACAGCATTTTCTTTTATATTTTTCTCCCCCTCCTTTTGTGTGTGTGTGTGTGTGTGTGTGTGTGTGTGTGTGTGTGTGTGGGCGCGCGTGCACATGCGCATGCGCGTGTGTGTGTGTGTGTATGTGTGTGTTTGTAGCTTGACCGCAACAGTTAGCAATATAATTGTGGACAGGCAGATAAAATACATCCAGGTAGAATCAACCCCTGTTGCTTTACCAGAATCATCAAACTCTGAGTAGTCCTTTTTTCCTCATGTGGAAAATACAAACTAAAGAAGAAGAATAGAGAATTGAAACATGTTTGTTTTTTCAGTCCATGATTTAATAAGAGAAATTATTGTACAGGTTGACTTTGCAAACTAGGATTTATTTCACTTCAGTAAAAATAAGTATTTGCACTATATATTTGACTAATGCAAAAGTAGAAAATTATACAGAGCCCACAAACTGCTTTGGAACACTGTTAACCTAAGCTGTCATTATGCCAAATTAAAAAAAAAAAAAAAAAACAGTCAATTCAGCTCTACATGAATAATCAGAGTTATTTATGCTGAGCTAAATAGCTCAGACTGCATCTAAAAAGATATTGAAGACCAGGTTAAAAAAATGAGATAATTACAAGGAATCTTACAGCTGTTCTACCTAATATCAAACATATTCTAGTTCTTAAAAATTGGGAGTTATTTGATGCCATATCATATTGCACGTAAATAAAACTAATTGTCATCACGGTTTATTGAAGTATGCTTGACAAGTAGCATTCAGTATTCCTAGCGAGGCAGTGGTTATATTTTTTTCAACATTTTCAGAGTCTGTGAATTTGAGTTTCATACTTTCTTTAGCAACATTTCCACACAATAAAAGCCTCTCTTGTTTATGACATTTTCAGATCATACAAAGTAGATGTTACACAAAAACTCCTGTGTCAGGTAGCAGTATCTTCTATTCCAGAGCTGACGGTAGTTCTTTCAGACACAAACTAGCTTTAAAAATACACAATAAAATGCTACTATAGACATGCTAGAGATATTAACTTCTTGTTTCCTGAATACGTTTTAAACCTTTTGCAGCTCTGCTTAAATTACCACCGAAGCTACAGTTACAACTTCAAATACAAAGGAGCCCCCAAAGTCCTCTATAAGTTAGAGCAACGGACCTTGCAAGGTGCTTGGATTGCGGTGACCAGAAAATTGTTCTCACCTCCATGTCATTACGCTCACAGTGAAGCAGCCCCCGAGCATGTTTGTGTTCGGGATCTAATATATTGCCTTTCAATCAGAGCTGAGAGCCACTGAACACATAGACAGAACATGACGAGCAGGTCAGGAAAGCAATAAAGATTTTACAGAGCTGTCCAAGGTGCTAAATTTACTCAATAATGGGTTTGGCACCATAGTGTTAACCTCTCATTTACTACCAGTTTGAGGGACTAAATTGAAGTAGCTGACTTCATTTACCTTGAAATGTATATTTTATGACATTATGTAAGTAGATTGAAAGGGCACTGCAGTTTTAACAATTTAAAGGCTAGAGCATGTTTAAGATGAAGCTTGAATATTTATTGTGTATTGCACTTAAACTATATAGTATATTAAAATGCATTGATTAAATTTGTAAAAGGTATTATAAAAAAAGACAGCTAATATAAAAGATCTATGTCTTTTAAAATCCAATTGATATTGCATGTTACCCCTGCAATGGTGATAGATAAACAGATAGATAGGTGGACAGAGTAGCAGACAGACATGAAAACGTGAGTGAAACGGGCATTCTGCAAAAAGAAATCTCTGCATAAGCTCAGGATCTGTTATTGCAGATATTCTTTTGTTCACAGAAATTCTTCTTTGCCTTCATCTCAGAAGCCTAGATTTTCATAGCAGTAAGTGGGCATCATGTAAGGACCTTGCAATTGAATGTGCAAGTGAAAATATTTCCTGAGAGAGACAGAGTTTGACTAAAGCTAATATCTAATTTATGGTGGCATTTGTCAAGAAAGATCCACTCTTCTATTAATGCTGAAAGTCTAACGGCTTTTGGTTTAGAATAAAGGACTCTGCAGCACTTAGTGTGAGCCAAAGTAAGGATCCTCTTGTCTTGCATACACTTTCAAATGACCAGCTTTCTTTTCTAGAAAAACAACAATTTATCAAATATTGAAAAGAGCCAAAATTATGTTAGAGATTAAACGCAATGCATTAGAACTCTGCCCTCCATGTACTGCAGATCACAAATCCGAAATCTATTTTTGGTCAAAACTGAAGTTGATTTCCTACCAGGAATTTTTTTAAAATTTGTGAAACCAAAATGCAATTAAATATTTTCATCAAGTTTTCTTCTTGAAAATACTAAAGGATATTTATACATGTAAAAAGAGGAGGTTGGGTAGCTTAGTCTGCTGTGACTTTGCATATTCTGAAATTACTGTGGGAAGGATTATATAAATCGTAGCAGAATGACTGTGCTTTTGAAGCATAAAGACTGTAATTCAAACGAAATTCACTTCTGACTGAACGTATCTGGAACCAACATTACAACAGCTTCGCATGTTTTGCTTGTGACATGCATAACCTTTCAGTAGGATTTCAATAAGATCATGAAACTTACATTAATTTATAATCCTATATTAAAATATCACAACCGCTTCTGCTACGCGCTGTTGCACTGGTAGTTCACTGAGGCTGAGTTAGTCTATCGTGATGAACACATTTTTGTGCCAGTTTTAAAACAGATGGGTTATCTCTTCTGTTGAAATCTGCTTACTTTTTATTCAGTGATTAGTAAAAATAATCCAGTCTGTGTCCCAACAGGGCTGTGAGTCTAGTCAATGAAAGGGTCCTGGAGTTACACTTAGTTATTCAGTAGACTTCAGTAACTAAATTAGACAGTGTTCAAGGTACTTGTTAAATCCAAATGAATTTTGTCAAGAAGGGGCTGACCACAATATATAACGCTTATCAGCCACATATTGTATTATTGAGCCCACCAAAGGATTTATGTACTCATCGGGGGGGGGGGGGGGGGGGGGGGGGGGGAGGAGGGAAGCTGTACTAGCATACTGTGAGGCATTTATCTTATGTGTTGTCTAGATATCATATCACCTTCTAATGCTCTTTAGCATTGTAATACAAGAGAGAGCTCATTCATCTTCTGAAAGGGTACTTAGGGATGATGATGTCATTCATACTTCCTTGACTTTTATGTCTGACCTCCTGGCTCTGCCTTCTAACTTCCTAATCTCATGACTACTTGCAAGAAAAAAAACTCTTCTGTAGATTCAAAATGCTGAACACCAAACTCCAATTCCCTTCTTCACTTAGAAAAGGTCGTGTTCTGAAACTTCAAGTCAAAATTGCAGTATTTTGTGCTCAAACTTCTTCTCATTTTTCAAGGGTACATGTAAAACTTTACATGTACTAATTAA